TCCCATTCTAATGGTAATGTTGAGAGGCCTTGTCTCCCCCTACTGGTGAGGAGCCTCCTGTCAACGATGCTGCCCTGGTTGAGGGTGATCAATTTTTATTTGCTTTAGCAGAGAAATTTGAGTTTCGTCCTAGGGTGTTAGATCTGGAAGACCCCAGATCAATTCCCGTGGTCTCAGCTTTAGGTCACACCACCGAGCCTCCTTTGGATTTTCCTTCAGCTGTCTTGAGCCGTGCTTGGAAGAGGATGTCCAAAAGTATTCTGACTTCCTCTAGTCCTAAAAGGAAAAAGGTCCAACAAGACCTTTCTAATCTTACCTGCTCTGCCGAGTCGATTTCGAGTTGTATCAAGGAAGATAACTTAGAGGCCTTGAGGGAGGAGTACTCCTTTCAAGCTTCTATTCTGCTCCATTCTCCTAACAAAGATGAGAGATATAACTCATCTATTCTTGGAATGACTGTTGTCCAAATTTGATATTGACAGTTTACGTCCAAGTATACACGATCAACAAGTAATAAAGTGATGAGTAGAGTATCGTTCCCACGGAGAATTATGCTAATAACTTCAAAGTACTAACTTTATATCAATTTGATTTTATTTAAACAATTGGAATTAAACTATGAATTTACTAATTAAAAACTCAATCTAAATTTAATAATCAAAGGTTGAATTTACCGGATAAAAGAACTTAAGATTACAACTTCTCCTAATGCTTCGTATAAATCTTTCTAACTCTATTTCTAGTCAATGAATCAAATAAGTTGTTAACTGAGAACTCAAAGTTATTTATCAAACCTCTTCCGATAGTTAGATAAAATTATCTCTCCCAATTAAATCAATATATTCCTATGCACAATAATTTAGAATAGATTTATTAAGTTCAAACTCTCATAAAAGTTACACACGGCATATAGGTATATTCCTATCCTATACACAAACCCAACTATTTAATCCGAAGAAGAACTAACTAGACGCATGTCATCATATTCCAATCTAATCCTAGAATTTATCTTCCAATTTCATCTAGGTTATCAAATTAATTGTTGGCCATACAATCATATACTAAGCACAAAATATGACAAACAACTCATGTATGATCAATAGAACTAGAATCGAGAGTAGATCAATTTAACTAAACATCAGGTTCCATTGCAATCTTAATAAAAATTTAGTTCATAATGTAATTAAAAAACATAATTCTCAAATTAAACAACATCTTAGAAAACCAAGAAGTAAAATTAAGAGAAAATAATGAAAACTTAGTTGCAATCTTTACTTTCTCTCTAGCCTTCGATTTAGATTTTTTTCGTATTGCTTCCTTATATTCTTGTCTTCAATTTTCATTTGATCCTTTGGTTTTTTCTATGTTAGCAGCCCCCAAAATTAGTATCTCCCTTTTCTTTTTAAACCCTAGCATATCTATCGCATTAGAATCCAATTTCGGGTAAAAAAACAAGTCAGAATTCACATCCAGAGCCAACACAAGCGCCTAGGCGGTGGAATTGCACTAGAAAGGTGCCGTCTGGGTAGAATGTGGGTGCCTAGGTGCTGAAAATGCGCTGACCCCTTTAAGCCTAAATCTTCCCTTGTTGCTTGTCCTTCAAAAATCCAACACTTAGGCTCTAAATTAACCTTGTTTCCTTCCAAATGATCTTGTTTACTTCCAAATGATGATTCCTACCAAATAACATCAAAATACACAAAAAAATAAAATAAAAAGGAACATAAAATAATTGAAAACTTGCAAATTTATCAAGTTGAAAGTACACAATTCATAGGTATAAAATCCACTCATTAATGACCTGTTTCTTCACCTCGGCATTCCGTGTTGGCCTCAGATTCCCTATTTATCCCTTCATTTGAGACGTCTTCGCCTTCTATAATCTGTGTCTGGCTTGGGTTTCCCCCAATGGATGAGGCTTGCTAGTAGGCCTTCTTGTTTACTGGCACAAGAATGGGACACCTCTCCACCCACCATTTATGAGTTTCCCCAAATTTTTCACATTAAGTATTCTCATGCACTAGAATTTTTCTATTTTTCCACGTGGGTTGAGGTAAAGAGTTTGATTTTTGGGCTTCCTTCTTCCAAAAAAAGGGTGGAAGCCACAGTTCTTCTTCATTTAAGGTGATTCTTGGGAGTTGTTAGGAGTGCTTGGTGATATTCCTGGTGTTCTCAGGTTCTGGTGGTCCCAAGGAACACATGTAAGAGATATATTTAAATACTTGCCTACTGAATGCATTCTCATCATGGTTCTAACTTGAATTTTGATTTGTTTATAGGTTTTCACCTTTCCCTATACACTACAGAGGCTACGTGGAAACGATACTTGTCCAGACCACTCCTGTCGAATCTTTGCCTTAACACTTATCCGATTAGATGGATCCTAAACTTATAATGGAAAGATTTAGTGGTTTGAAGAAAAAGAAGAGGAAGATGATAAAAACTTCTAAGCTCCCTTCTTCAAAGAGATCAAAGTCGGTAGATACCCCTCGGGCAAGAGTAGGAGGGTTTGACCTCTCTCGAGACTAGCTTTCTCTCCTCCTCGCCACCTGAGCTGTTGTCTAAAGATGGGTAGCTGGTGGAATGAGTTGAGCTCGTCGGGATAGCTTCGGATCTTTTTGAGCTACCACCCAAAGGTGGACTTGAGGTTGAAGAAGCCGAAACCATTGAGGTAGCTCCAGCATCGTTCCTCGAAAAAGAAGAGGTCGAGCAAGATTTTCTTAAGATGGACATGAGGGCCAGTGGGTTCCTCTACGATCCTACTGCAGTTATGAGCACCTTGGCTGACATGGTTCCCACTTCAGACTTTAAGGAGGCTATGAAGGTCAGCTTTGGAAGGAATACCAAGCATGTTATCTAGGTTTTGGCTAAGGCACTGTGTTCTTTTGTTGCCCCCAGAACATAGCTTTTGGATTCTCCTTCTCTCTCTCTCTCTCTCTCTCTCTTTTTTAAATATTTGCCTCTGTTGGTAGGACTTGATATGCATCAAGATGTTGGAGTTCCATCATCAACACATTTTGAGTGTGTTGATGCTGGTGATTCCATCAAGGGGAAGTATGAGGAGCTGAAGGTAAAAGTGGTTGAGTTGAAATCCAGAGATGGGAGGGTTACTGAGCTCCCTGAGGTGAACACTTTTGCCTTCGTGCAAGTGTTTATGAACTTTAAAAAGTAGGTTGAGAGGTTATACCCTGACCTTGATCTGGACTGTTTCATGCCAGAGGTTGAGGTGTAGAAGCCTAAGGAACTTGCTGAAGGGGTTGGAGTTGAGCAAACTAAAGTCACTGAAGAGCTTGCTACTTCATTTTTTATCTGGAGGTTATAGGATTTTGCGATGGGCTGTAACTAAACTTATAGCGAATTTATGTAACTTAAACTATGCTTCCCTTTTTTTTAATGCTTCCTATTTACAACACCTTTCATTCTGGGTAGTTTTTGTGCATTTCCTATTTGATTCTTCTCTTTTTCCTTCTCTTCTTTGCTGCATGCTTCTTAGCTCTTACCTTTGGTAGGATGAGAGGGGTGAACATTGCTCCTCTGAGTCATATCGACCTTTACATGTAGCAGTGTGGACTCCCGAGTTGGTAAGTCTCATTTGAATGGAAATTTGCTTCTCGTGGTTAGGTTGCTTGGTAAGTCTACCTAGCCCCTATGGGTTATGATATTTCATGGTCTATCAGGGTGGTTTGATCTGCAAGCGACGTAGGGAATTTCCCTTTTGTTTCTGAGCCTTGATCTGAACATTTATGCCTAAGATGTTTAGGACCATTAGGGTTATTTTAGATTTTTTGCTTCGCCTTTTCGTGTTCCCCAAGTTTGAAGATTTTCTTCAGTTGAGGCTACGTGCCTATGGAGGCGAGGGTGTCTCCTCAAAAGTTGCATCCATTCCCCAGGTTGTGCAACACGTGGCCAGTGCAGTTAATGCGATGGATAAGCATTTATTGCTTCTTTCTAAAGGGATTTGTACCACCTAATACCTCTTTAAATATTGCGTACTTTCTCTATAGGCTTTCATCATTTTGCTTGAGTATTTTATACTTCATCATCTATTATATTTGTCACTCCGATTTTTTGAACTATTCTCTTGATTTCTCACCATGGCTCAACTTTTTGCTTTTGGGTATGACACCTTAAGAAAGACTTTTCCAGATATTGAGGTGAGTGAGATTGACGCTGCAGAGAGCCAGGCGTTGTCTAATCGTTTCAATTTTCCCATTGAGGTATTAGTTCATGCACATACAATGACCTTTATCACCGATCTTTGGCTCACAAGGTCTATTTTTTGAGGTCCTCTTTCACTGGGCCTCAGGTTTCTTCTTCTGCATTTTGTGGGGGAGGTTCTTTATTTTTTTAGTTTTTGTCTGCCACTTTGCTACCAGTGGGTTGTGCTATTTTTTTGGCATTCTCAGTTTTGTGGGAATGCTTGTTCATGCAGCCACGCATTTCCTTGGCAGAGTTTCTCAGCCTCTTTCGGCCTGTGGAGCTATATAGGCTCTACTGCTTTGTAGGGAGAAGAGAAGGAGAAATTTCTATCTCTGACTTTCCTTCTGAGCCTGAAGGTTGGAGATGGAGGTTCTTCTTTATGTCTAGAATAGGCTAGGAATTTGTTTCCTAGGTGGTTTCATTGGTTCGCATTCCCACAGTCTGGGGGTGATGTGCTCATGTTGGTGAGTTCCCTGTCTTGGTGAGTTTTCTTCTACCGAGCTACCCACCTCTTGCTTCTATGGTTCTAACTTTTCCTTTCTTATTCTTTTGTAGATGAATATCCGACCTTAACCAGTGATGAGCGAGCTCGAGTTGATCAAGCTTGCGCTTATTTACCTTTCTTCTATGTTGAGTTAATGGGATCTGACTCATCTAATATTCTGAGTAGTAAATGCTTGATTTTCCTGCAAAATTTGATTATCTTGTCTTTGTGAGACCTTATTGGTTCACTCCTTTAATTGTCTTATTTTTCAGCTCCTTCATACTTAGTCTATGAAAGGAACGTGATTGTGGAGTAGGTGGGTCAAAGGAGGTTAGCGCGAGCACTCAAGCCCCCTACAAAGAGGGCGAGAGTTGTCGAGGATAGCCCCGCATTGAGTCCTAAGGCTCGGGCCCCGACCTTTCTAACTATCGAAGTGATCACTGCTGGAGTTGTGTCCATTAATGTCGAGGTGGGCCCAGCACGATGTGGACCTATTCCTGGGGGTGTGGAAGGCTGCAACTCGAGGTGTCACAAATCGGTCATGGCTAGCAGTATTGGTGGGAGTTTTTTGGACGATGTGGCTAGAGGTAGCCAAGCTTTTATGGAGCTGATTCCTTCAGTCAACCTCCATCGTTCCGTTAACCTATCTTTCAGAGCCAGAACCTGACACTCTTTGCATGCTCTTCTTGAGGTATAACCCATTGATTTGCCCTTTCTGACCTTAGCCTTGCTAGAGCTTATCCATTTAATTTGGTTTCAGATTGCAACAAATGCCTGTACTTTAGGTAGGGAGATCCATCATTTGAGGTTGACGACGGAGTGGAGAGAAGCGAGGTTGGCTAAACTGCTATGTTGGGGCGCAGGGTTAGAGGCTGAGACAGAGTTAGCTCTTGAGCAGAGAGCTTAGGTATTTTGACAGTTAATTGCTGCCACCGATTCGAAGATCTCCTTCATAGATCGGCTAAGCTGGGAAGAGAATGAGCTGGTCAATTCGCAAGCTTAGAACATGGAGCTGATGGCCCAACTGGCCCAATCTTGCATGTTCATTGTTGACTTGGAGAACTCTTTGAGCATAGAGTGGCGATTGGTTAAGAAACAGAAAAATGAGATAGAGAAATTAAAAAGGGAAGTTGCCTTTGACAAGTTTGGGCTTCTCATCTAGATAGCATTCATTGGGCTTGAACTAGACCATGGCCCAATTTCATAGAGGCCCAAAACAAACAAGCTTGAAATAGGTGCTAGCTTGGGGAATGGGAGCACGACACCAGGTCAGTGTATGAGAGCTATAGCATGACATGTGAACAGAGGACAAGGGGAAATACTTGAAAATTATGAAAAACAAACACCCACCGGTAGTGGAGATGACTCACGCATTGAAGCCAGTGAGTAGTGGGTGTAGAAAAGCGTTAGGGATTACAACTCTAGTAACAAGACAAACCCAGAGGGGACCATAGAATTAGCAAAAAGGATTAACATGAAAGCCCTAACGACCAGATTTATAAATAGCTAACGATACTACACAGAGAGTGATTTAGAAAACTAACCAGCTGTAACCTAGTCAATATTCTGTAAAAGGCTTCAAACCAAACACCTTGTAATCAAAGTCTTTTTTCCCAAGTAATACATTTCTCAAGGAGCAAGAGCCTACCTTACTATTGATGTACCCTTAGTCCTTTGGCTAAGGTGAGTCACTCATACTGTTGTTTTCATCCTGCATCATGCATATGCACACATGTACTCCTACATACACATGCTTTCACTAGGCCATATCCTAGGTTTTTCTATAATCCAGTCTAATCGATTTCGAGCACCATTAGCTTGGCACCATCCGTGGGAACGCTTTTCATTGTTTCTTCTTAAGTTTTCTCCATACACTTAATAGTTTGATGGTCTCTACTCAAAATATGAGTAAGTCTCATGCGAACTTGCAGACCCTATAAAACCAGCAGGGAAACCTCCCAACCCCAATGATAAATGTTGAGAATGACCCTCCAACGATAGACCTAGCTCCTATCAATGAGTTAAAGGCATACGGCCGAACCACAATGCAATTTGTAAAGCAAAATCAGGACCTCATAGTATGGATCTAGGTACATCATCTTACTTAGGCCCTACTCACACCTCCTGTGCTACCATCACAACCAGCTCAAAATAACCATCCTTTTCAGGATCGTAAAAATACACCTCCCAACAGGGTGACAGACCTCCATGACCATAGCCATTCAGGAGAGAACCATTGTCAACAACAGCCAGAGGAAAAAATTGATGAAGAGGCTCACAGCCGCGCCAGAGTTGTTCCGATGGAAGACTGCCTTCCACTTTCCCAGCAAGACAACATTAACCAATTCTGGGAATGAAGGTTTTGAGAAATCCAACAGGAGCTGGGTAATGTTAAAGAGGTGGTGAAAAGGAAAACTCTCATCACCATGGACACTCTAGTCCAACAAACCGAATCTCGATTTGCTATGAAAATCTTACACTTCCCTCTGCTTCAAAAGTTCAGGATGCAGCAAATAGAGGTGTTCAACAAAATAAAAAACCCAGTAGAACACCTTAACTCACAAAAATCAAATGGAACTCCATAGGTATCTTGATCCCATCCGTTGTCGAGCTTTCACTATGACCCTCAAAGGGTTGGTGATAGCATGGTTTAACAGGCTATAACCAGCCTCAATTTCCTCTTTCTGAGAACTCTCCATACAGTTCGTTTCCCACTTTATCAGGGCACAAACTTATCTGAAATCATCCTATCATCTATTGAGTGTTAAATAGGGACCCAATGAGGCTCTCAAAAGCTATGTTCAGAGGTTCAACCAGGTGTCCCTAAAGGTTGAGAATGTAGATAACAAGTTCACCCTGACCACTTTTATGTCGGGACTTGACCTTTGTCCAAAGATTTACTGTTCTCAATCGCTAAGAACCCCCAGACAATGATGGTTGAAGTCCTCACCAAAACTGATAAGTACATAAATAGGGAAGAGGCACTTTGCATGTAGGGGAGCGCATTGACATCAAATAAGGGTGAGAAGAAAAAGAGAGAGTGCAACCCGAGAGAAGAAAAATGGCTAGATCGATCCTCGAGGAAGAAAAGAGAAACATCTCCAAAAGGAAGGGGAAATGTCAAAGGACCATCTTTGGCTACCACCTCAGGAGCTTCAACCATGGTATTTACCAGGCTGGCTCACTCCCCTCAATGCCACCATCTCTCAGGTCCTCCATGAGGTCCAAAATGAGAGGTTTGTCAGATGGCCACCTAGGATGAAGTCGGACCCTCGAAGGTGGGATCCCACCAATTACTGTGACTTTCATAAAGACAATGGTCACGATACTGATGATTGCATCTAGTTGAAGAATGTGATAAAATACCTCATCCAACTGGGCCACCTAAGGCATTACGTAGCTAGGGAGGGGAGAGATTGAGATAAGTGAGATCGAAATGGCTAAGTTGTAGCTCTACCCCTATAGCAACACCAGCAAGCCCAAGGAGAAATAAGGGTCATTTCAAGAGGCTTTTCTGGAGTAGGGGATTCAAGCTTGGCAAGCAGAGCCCACGTCAGGATGGCTAGGTCAGATGATTTCCTCGACATCCAGGCGATTCAAAAATCCCTGCACTGAGATCGTGAAATAACCTTTTCAGAAGCCGACCTGGAGGGGTGTCAGCTCCCCCACAACAATCCCTTGGTAGTGAAGGCCATAATCGACAACAAGATAGTGCACTGCATCCTCATTGACAATGGGAGTTCGGTCAACATTATTTTTCTCTCTGTCTTCGAACAACTTGAATTGGACAAGTCTAAGCTCAAACCTTGTAAGAACCCATTTGTTAGGCTTCTTGGGAGAGAGAGTCATGCTTTTTGGATCAATCCAGCTTATTCTCATGTTAGGAGACCACCCTTGCTAGATAATCACCTCGGTCCAATTCCTTGGTGGATGCACTTTCTGCATATAATGTTATGCTTGGTGGGCCCTCTCTAAACTCCATCAAATCTATCCATTCGGCATACCACTTGGTCATAAAGTTCCCAACTAAAATCGGAGTTGGGGTGGTGAGAGGGGACCAACGTGTTCTCAGAGAATGCTATGTTGCATCAATGAAGCAGAGGGAAATGGAATCTGTTCAACTAGATGACTTGGACATGAGAGAGGAGATCAAGACCTAACCTACATCCTCGGAGGAGCTAGACCAGTACAGATTGACAAAGACCTTGAGCATGTGGTATTTGTAGGCTTTATGTTGCTTCAGGACATTAAAGAACAATTGATTCTTTTTCTGAAGGAAAACACCAATGCTTTCGCTTGGAAATAGGAGAATATGGAGGGGATTAACCCTAACTGCAAACCCGTCAAACAGAAAAGGAGAAGCTTCACCCCAAAAAGGTAGAATGATATCAACAAGGAGGTGGCCAAACTACTATGGAGAAAAGCCATTAGGTAAGTTGACTACCCGACATGGTTGGCCAACACAATATTGTTCAAGAAGGTTAATGGAAAATGGTCCCCATGCATCGAATTTATAGATCTAAACTGCGCCTACCCCAAAGACAATTTTCCACTGCCTCAGATCAACCTTATATTCGATGCTACGGCGGGGCATGAACTCCTTAGTTTCATGGACACCTTCTCTAGCTACAACCAAATTAGAATGGACCCCAACGATCAAAAGAAAACCTCCTTCGTTACAAAGCAAGAAACCTTTTTGCTATCAAGTTATGCCCTTTGGGTTGAAGAATGTCGGAGCCACATACCGAAGGTTGGTCAACCGCATGTTTTAAGGGAAGCTCAGCTCAACGATGGAGGTATACATAGATGACATGTTGGTCAAGTCTCTCAAAGCCAAGCTCTACATCCAACACCTCCGAAAATCCTCTGACGTCATTTGACAGTACAGGATGAAGCTGAATCTAGCCAAGTGCACCTTTGGTGTGTTAGTTGGGAAATTCTTGGGGTTCATTGTGAACAATTGAGGAATCGAGGCTAACGCAAAAAAAGTATAACCTGTCATCGAGATGAAGTCACTCACCCACATCAGGGTAGTTCAACGCCTCACTTGGAGGATAACAACACTTAATTGGTTTGTTTTGCGTTCTAGCGATAAATGCAAACCATTCTACGAAGTTTTAAAAGTTGCCTTCCAATGGAACGAGAAATATGAAGAAGCTTTCCAAGCCCTGAAAGATTAATTGGCTTCACCCTTGGTGGTGGTTAGCCCAAGAAAAGGAGTGGTCCTGACCTTATACCTTGTGGTATTCGAATTCTCTATTAGTGCTGCTTTAGTAAAAGACAAAGAAAAGGTACAACAACCCATCTATTTCTGTAGCACAACCCTCAGATGAGCCGAAGAGAGGTATCCCAGGATGGAGAAGCTTGTCTTGGCTCTCCTTGTTGCAATCAGAAGAATAAGGCCATACTTTCAAACTCATAGTATTGAAATCTCGATTGACCAACCAATGAGCTAGGCCCTGCATAAGCTAGAGTCGTGTGGAAGATTAGTCAAATGAGTGGTAGAACTCAATGAGTTTGATATCAAGTTCAAACTAAGAACAACCATTAAGGGTCAGATACTCGTTGACTTCATTGCAGAGTTCACCCCCTAGATTGAAGACCAACCTGGAAATCCTGACCTCACCGCAAACGTCC